GGCCATCTCATTCACATCTCTTAACACGTTATTCCAGAACTACTCATTCTGAACACTAAAGAGAAAGGAAAATATCTTGCCCTCTCTCCTTCATTAAAGTCAACATATAAATACTGCTTTTGCAAGTGTTCTGTCCTCCCAGTTACAGAGATCTGCTGTAGAGGAAATAACCGAGTATCAATCCTAAGACGTTCTGGAAATCAGCTTTTAAGTTCAATCATGGGAGCCCCGAGGCAGAACGATGCCCACCAGGCACGTTGCCAACAGTACCATGCCTGCCTCATTCCTGTGGAACTGAGGACATGCATCTTGGCGAAGCCACACCCCCATCCTCTCTACCGTGCTCAGGAAGCCTAGGTTGTGAGCCGGCTGGGAGGCTCTGGAACACCCACTCCATGGGTGTGGGGTTGTGCTCCTGTCTCCTGAAGTCAGAGCACCGGCCTTCCTGCTTGACAGCCTTGGAATGCGCAGTTTGTGTTCATGTGCTTTATGGTTTTTTTTTTTACAATAAGATTCTAAATTTAGACTATTTAGAGTCATAGAGATATTGTGGAGACAGAATAGTGTATTCTGGGCATTGTCACTGACTTGTACCATAGCCACTTATACCGCCACTGCTCATGGGCAGTTAAGGGCCCTTCCATCAGATTTAACCAATAGTGGTGTATGCCTGTAATCCCAGAGTTTGGGGGATTAGAGGCAGATGGATCAGGAGTTCAAGGCCAGCCTTAACCACAAAGCAAATTTTAGATCAGCCTGAACTATGTGAGAAAATTAAAAGATTTAACAAATGGTTTTGGCAACCGAGTTTCTGCTCATGTCACCTGTCTGAAGGTTTCCTCCAAGCAGGACATGATGTTTATTGACCGCCTTTCCTCGGCAGCTCAAGACTTACTTTGGGGGAACCGTCTGGTACAGTGTTGCTGAGACTTGGCTCCTATTTTTCTCACCACCAACCCAGCGCTCCTCTGAGGTGCACTGCCATGTCTGAGTTTGCCGAAAAAAGTCATGGCAGAATTTCTGTTCCATTAGGCAAGAATCTGTGACTCAGCAGGGTGGTGGTGGTAGCACACGCCTTTAATCCTGGTATTTGGGAGCAAGAGGCAGGGGGATCTCTGAGTTCAGGTTAGCCTGGTCTATAGAGGAAGTAAGTTCCAAGACAGCTAGGGATACACAGAGAAACCCTGTCTCGGCGGGGGGGTGGGGGGTGGGGGGTGGGATGTGATTTACCTTGGAAGACGGTGGCCCTGACCACCTGGTCAGGGTGTTTGTATCTCTGCTGTGTGATATTCACCTGGGTCCATCCCTCAGAAAGGAGTTGCTGCTCAAGGGGGTTTGTGGGGGGGGGCACTGCCTGCAGGGATGCCGGAGCAGTTCCCAGGTGGTCCCACATGAGTTTGCTGCATAGTGATGTCGTAGCTGTCTTAAACACGCTCAGTGATGTTCACAGGGTGACAAAACCATATGTGATGTGCGATTGGGTTTGAGGGTCATCGGCCCCCTGGCTGGAGCTACCCCGAGAACAGCAAGTGTTCATGTGAGGGATGAGCGCCCCCATTTGTCCCTTTCCCATTTACTTTGCTGTCGGTTATGGGCATCAGCATGGATTCACGGAGATGGACTCGCGCTGGAATCTAATGCGACGTTAATTGCGTTGCTCTGCTTGGGAAGGCTCTCCAGGTAAGCCCCGCCCACCCGAGATGTCGTCACTTTGGGCACATCTGAATGTGGCTTCTACCATGCCTTTCCTGCCCAGTCCTGGCCATCAGTAGGGAACGGACACAGGGGCTACAGTGGGCACTGGATGTTAATGCTGTTGAGGGTTCAGAGCTGGGCTTCTCTTACCCTCACCTCCAGCACACTGCTCTCTCCCTCCCTCCCCTCTGCCTGGGTCACTTTTGCCCCCCCCCCCCTTCAGTTCAAGACCTGCCCATTGTTCTGCATCCCTTTTGAATGCTTTCATGGCTAATGGGCTGTGCTGGACGCTGGCCTCCCACTGCCCTCGTGGGGCTTTCTGAGGCGGGCACAAATCTGAGGCTGCTGTTTTTCTGTGGGAAGGATGTGCCCGGCTGGGGCTGTTAAAACCAAGCAGAGGCCATGAGCAGTACAGCGAGGCCTCCTCTCGATGCAGGAGCCCATGGCTGCCAGGTGTTGTGTTCTGGGGGCTGGAGATTTGCATGCAGACGAGGGAGGCATCCTCAGAAGCTGAGCGCAGCTCCCAGCTCCAGAGGTTCTGTGGCCTATAGTGTAGCAGCTATTCCATTTGTTTGTTTTTTTCGTCGTATGTTTTTGAGTTGGGAACCTGGGGTCATTCCAGGTCATTAAAGGCATCGTCCTAACCTCATCACCATGGGATCTGCGCTGGGAAGGACCCAGGCTTCTGTTCTGCTGTGTGAGATGTGGGTTGAACGGGGAAAATGCTTTCTCAAATCTTCTGCTTCTGATGTTCATGTTTCCCTAAACTGCCCTCACTGAACAGCTTATGCGCCTGTAATTAAAGCAACTTTTCACACTGCTGAAATGAGTTGGTGCAAGCCGTCCTTCAGGGGACCTTTGCAGTCTAAGATGATGGAAACCTCGGCGGATCCGGGGGAGCTGGAGACACAGGCCCATTGACCCTACCCAGGGCCTGGGCAAGTGTGTAATCACCAGCCCTCATATTATGGGGTGCAGTGAGCCCTGGGTGTCTATACCTAGCCTCCTTGTACTTTTTTGGGGAATAGCACCTCATTTCCTCTCAGGCTGAATGTCCTTACTGGATACAGGGTGGTGCTTGCTGCACCCATGGAAAGTTGTTCTCTGAACCTGAATCCCAAACAATTGGAAGGGGCAGGTATCACTGCCAGGGTCTGGCAGGGCTGCCAATACTATACTCTCTTGGGGAGGGAGAGATGGCTCCACCCTGGGGATAGCCAGCAGCTTACAACCCTGAAAGCCGAGATCAGATCCTCAGATAAGATCAGAAAGAAGGTGTTCGGGTAAGGGACAGCTTTGTCCTCAAAAGGGCTTTGCCTAGCTTGAGGTTTGTTTACAAAGGAGGCCACCTGGGGTCCTGCTCAAGTAAGTACAACAAACACAACCCACACGTTCCCAAGTGCTCTCTCTCTCTCTCTAGAACCTAGGTATTACCCTAGGGTTCCTGGACATCTCAAAACAGAGACTGTGAAGTTCCTCATTCCGTCGTGAGTGGACAGAAGCACACAGAGTTCCAATAGGAGAGCAGTAGTTATTAGCACCCACTGGGGCCCTCCCATGACAGACAGGCACGTCCATAGAGATGAGAGTGGCGTTGCTCTTGCTGTGGACTCCCAGCTGACACAGCAGTGAAAGGGGAATGCCCTTGAGCACCAAGGAACAGGACGCGGACAAGCAGACTGGCACTGAGCAGCAGCCCAGACACCAGCACGGAATGCAGAGCAAGGCTCAGTAGTACATGGCCAGTAAGCAGTTCACGTAAGAGCGGCACAAATGCTTCCAGTTCTTAAGAACATATAAATTATTTTACTTTTTGTACATATGTATTTGATCTGCATATATGTACCATGTGTGTGCCTGGTGCCTGTGGAGGCCAGAGACCTAAGGCTGGAATTACAGACAGCTGGGAGCTGCCATATGGGTGCTGGGTATCAAACCTGAGAACTTTGGAAGAACGACCAGAGTTCTAACCACTGAACTCTCTAACTGCTCCTCACACTTTTTTTTTTTTTTTTTGACACAGGTTCTCACTCTGCAGCCCTGGCCGGTCTGGAATTATACAGACCAGGCTGGCCACTTCATTTTATTGATCACTAAAAAATAAGAAATTAGAAGGTGGCATACACCTGGCAACTTGGGATGTGGAGGCAGGGGGATCAGGGAGGTCAAAGTCATCTTTGACTACACAGTGAATTTGAGGCAAAAACATAAAGTAAATATAAAAAAAAATTCTTCAAACATACAAAATCTTTTAAAAAGTTAAAAAAGTTCAAGGCCAACTTATCTATATAGCAAGACCCTGTCAACAAATCAACAAACAAAACACGCAGGCCCCTTAAGTCCATCTGAGTCACTGTAGGAGTCTAGAATCACGAGGGTGGCAGTGTCTGTCACACGCGGCCAGGACTTTCACTCTCCTGACTTAGCCAGCGCTCAGTGGTCCTGGCAGACAGGTGTGGTGTGTGATGTTTCCTGAGGTCTGGGCTGTGGACAGGGAGGAGTGGCCCGGTGGGAACCAGAGACTCAGATTAGGTATGCTCAGTGTCACGAGTCCTCTGAGGACAAAGTTAGTTTATAAAGTCACCATTCGTAGCTGAGGCCACTGGGGACGGAGACAGGGGTCTGACACTGACAACCCGACATACACGAGGGAAGCACAGGCTGGCCACCAGGCTGGTGAGGATGACAAGGCACACCCGACACAGGTGGGGGGTGGGGGAGCCCAGCCGGTGCCTCAAAGGCAGGTGGTGGTTCTGTCTGCTTAGGAGTGCTTGCTGGGCCAACTAGGGGGCCATTGTCTCACTGACACCCATTTTCTAGGGCCACCAACTCCATCATCTGCCCTGCCCACACCAGCTTCTGGGGGCTGTGAGTGTCTTGAGAGAAGCATCAGAACTTGAGTGGGGACCACTGCAAGGAGGGAAGGAGCGCATTTCTGGTCAGGTACAAGGCAGGACCTGCAAAGGAAGCCCACCTAGCACAGAATAGTCTGAGCACACTCGAGTGTCAGCCTATGCCAGCATGTCTCCATTTCTCATGTCAGGAACCTGTATGCTTCGCATGTGAGCACTGGGAGAGTAAAGGCCTCCTGAAGGGAGGGATACACAAACCTGCAACTTCACGGGGCAGTTGAGGCCATGTCAGGATGACCCTGTGACTGGCTGGTCTGGCAGAGGACACAGAGGACACAAGTGGGACATCCCCTTCCTCAGCCAGGGAGAAGCCACCACTGGAGGGAAGTCCCGTTTCCCCACAGGCTGACACACGTTAAGTGGCAGAAAACCGAAAGCAGGAGCCGCCCTGGCTGCTAGCTAGAAAAGGTGTTTCCTCCCGCTTTATTTGATAATACATTTTCACAGAAACATGATATATTTACAAATATACAGGTAAGAGACTGCTGGTCAAAAATTTGAAACTGAAAATATCACCAAAAATTTACAAAAGCCACCGACTGACCCAGGGAGTCGGGCTGGAGAACCTGGAGGGCCGTGTGTAGGTCGGCACAGAGCTTGCAGCTCAGCTTCTGGCTGGGCTGTGGGTGCTCTGAGCTGAAGCCCAGCACCTGTGGCCACAGCTGCACACGATGCTCTGCTTGGGGCCGGCTCCGTGGCTGCCGTCTCAGGATGCACTGGTCTGCAGGTTTTTTGAAGCTGCGAGCATTGCTCTTACTTTGGCCATGAGATCCTGTGTAGGTAAACATGGAGGGCATTTCAGTCTCCTGTTAACCAGACTTGTGAGGAGATCGTGGTGAGGACAGGCAGCAGAGTTTCCAGCATCCTAGTTGTGAACCCGTACCAGCTGCACAGGGACCAAAGTAACCCTCTGTCTTGTCATAAACCTCCCAGAGCTGTGACCCCACATGGCCTGGGGGTACAAGTAGAGCCCAGGATGTGTCAGTCACCTGTGGAAGACTTGGGCTCTACAGCATAGCAACCCCAGGAGGAGGACATGAACTTCCTGTGGAAGACAAGGATCCCCAAGAAGTGATTCTTCCCCATTCCCTGCCTCATGGGCTCTTACTTAGTGCTTGACTGTGGCAGGGCCCAAACCACTGAGTCAGTAGGTGACCTGCCCAAGATTTAGACCTGGGTTAGTACTGGAGACAAGGTGTGAGAAGGAAAATTATCAGAAAACAAAAAATGGGGCCCCCATTATAAAAGCTGAAAAAAGAGGGGCACGCCCATCTTACCTGAGTTATTTTGCTCTGCACAGAGGAAACGATTGCTGAGGAGATCTGGCCATCTTTTTCCTGAGAAACCCCCCTAAGGCAGAGGAAAGAGCGGAGGCTCAGACACACTCAAGAATCTGAAGGCTGGTTCCCATGCCCTGGACTCTCAAACTAATTTGAAAGTAGCAACAAGCTTAGGAACACACCATGTGCACGAGGGGCTGGGGCTGTGCTGGGTGCCTTCCTCTACTGCTCGCGACTCTTTTGTGAGACAGGGTTTCTCACTGTCTGTTCTTCATGGGTTGGACGCTGGACCCTCCCACCTCCACCTCAGCCTGCTGGACCTGCAGGTGCATGCTGCTGTGCCCTGCTCTTCACATGGATGCAGGGATCAACTTCAAGTCCATGTTTGTGCTAGGAAGTACTTTATCCACCGAGCCATCTTCCCATGCCAGGAACATGCATTTTTATACCCACTTCATAAAAAGAACCTAATTTACATTTTAACACCATTACACAAATGCTTGTAAAGAGGAAGCTAACAAAGGCAGCACCTGTCAGGTAGGCAGGCAGGATCAGAACCATAGCCCAAGTGATTCCTAGTTCACACATAAAGCTTCTGTGGATGTGGACATCACCCTTGTCCTTGTGGCCGGGGTTTCCTACACTCACTTTGGGATGGCCCCCGTCAAATGCAGAGCCCTTAGGTGAGCTGCGTTCCTCACAGAGTGGCCATGAACCTGTCTGAACTGAGTATGCCCTGTTCATGCTTACGGAAGCTCCTACCAAGAACACACACTTTAATCTCACACAGCCAGCCCTAGACTCAAGATTCCCTAGACTTCTAGGCCTGATTGTTTGGTAGATGCAATTCCAGCATGGATAGCCTCCTGAGACCATTTGTCACTGAGACCCACTAAGTTTTGTATGGTACCTCAGGTGCTCTTTTACTCACGGAAGGAATCTGAATGTCTGATAAGGCAAGGATTCAGAGGAGGTGCACCCACACGCTCCTGTTTGAAGTCACCCACTTCAGGTCACCTGGTATCCCCTATTCCCAGAGAAGCAATGGGGGCGGGGGCTCCACTGAGGCACTCACAGCCAGTGCTGGCCAGGTCTCACTTCCTCCCCTTGCTTTTTCTCTCAGAGAGCCGTCTGGGGGTCACGGTTACCTGGAGCGTTCCTGGGAAGAACCTCGGCTCTCCACAGGAGAGATGCTGGCCGAATGGGCTGAGTGCGCAGAGGGACGCTGTGCTGCCTGTTTGCTCGGGGACGTTGACTGGGAGCGGGCTTTGGCCTTGGTGCGCGACCGTGATCTCCGCTTCTTCTTCTTCTCGTGGGGACTTCTGAAAGGGAAGTGCTCTTGTCAGGGAATGCAGCGTGACAAGAGGGCAGTCTGAACTTGTTTATTTCAAAGGCCCCTCCTGTGGGTTTTCTTTCTTTCTTTTTGTTGTTCTTTTATATTATAGGCTGGCTTTGGACTCATTCTGTAGCTGAGGATGACCTTAAACTCCCCATCTCCTTCCTCTACTGCCCAAGTTCTGGAATTAGAGGATGTACCACCAGGACTGGGGTGTGTAATACCCACAATTGAATGAGGGTGTCGTGCATGCCAGCAAACACTTTAATAGCTGAGTACATTCCCAGCCTCATGTGCATGCCTTAGACAGCTGTAATCCTTCAGTCAATTGAGCCTGTATGTCCACAGGGTACTGAGCTTTAAAAGAACCATCCAGAATCCAGCCTCTCCATAGGGGAAACTTAGACCTGGGGAAATGTCTGGCATTTAATGTACAATGAACAATCTATTTGCATTGAAAATAGCAAGATAACTACCAAGGGCAGCCTGTAGGAAAGTCTATACTGCTTTCTCATTCACACCAAAAGATAGGGAATTATCAGCCAAATCCTGCATATACCCCTTTGTGGATGATAACTCAGGAGGAGGCAGCCTGAGCCTGCTCTGCTCTGCATGTCTGCTGCACCCAGTGTCAGCTGAGCTCTGACCTGTGCCCTGCTTCCACCACAGGACAGGGCTGCCGAGCCCACCAGTCCCAGCAGGTCCCACTCCTTCTGAAGGCTCTGGCATTGCCTCACTGTTTCTACCATGTACAGATGTAGACACATACACAAACACATGTGCGAAGACTGTGAGGACACATACTTGGTAAAATGCAGTGTCTCCTCTCAGATCCATTTCCTACATACAGGACAGAGCTACTGCCAGCCTGCACTCCACCTCCCACTAAGCCTGTCTTGAGATGCTTTGGAGCTCTATCACTGCCTCCCAGAGTCTTTCCTCCCTCTTGGGCTGCAGGACACTGCCAGGCAGCTCACCGCTTGGCTGTATCTTTCCAAGTGTGTCCACTTTAATGGGAACACTGCTAAGTCACTGTCGCCCTTTTCTCTTTTGCAGTCACCAGGGACCCAGCTCTTAGGCATTTGGTTTTCAAAGAGACACAAAGGCCCTTCCCAATCTGGCCTAGCCCTCTGTCCTCCAGGAAGGCATAGGCATGGAGGTGAGAGGACGACTCTGTGGACAGTTCTCCCCTTCTTCCATGTTGTCGTGAGTCTTGGGGCTCACCCCAGGACGTAAGGCTTGCACAGTAAAGCACCTTTACTTGGGGCTCACCCAGGACGTAAGGCTCGCATAGTAAAGCACCTTTACTTGCTGGCTTTCTCACCAGCCCTGATTAATCTGAACTTCGCTAGAGCAAAGCAGTCTGCTCACTTTTTAAGTTGCTGAGGTGCACTTTGCAACTGGGTCCTCCGTGCTGTTGCTGAGTGACCAAAGCAACAATTGTGGCCTGCTGTTTTGGAACATTCCCTCAGTGTACTTTTCAGTCTATGCCATCCTCCACACTCAGCTCTATAGGAACCAACACTCACATTACTGTATGGGTCTCAGCAGTATTTCCAAGTCCCCTGTAAAACTGGGCATGCCCCCACATGTTCTTATACTAAAAGTAGCACTGTCCAGGTGCAGTTGGTAACTTCACACCTCCTTGCTTCTGTGGCCAAACATCCCCAGTGCAGTCTGGGGAGAAAAGCAGTGGTGAAGTACGGCAGGTGCACCTGTAACCTTGTAAGAAACGAAGCTGTTTCTAGACGGCAGCCTCAGCTGTGAGGACTGGCTGGTGAGCATCCTCGCCTGACCACTCTAAGTGAGGCCAGTGAGCAAGGAGAAACTTGCTGGGGCTCCCTTACTCCGGACTGCTGATGTTCAGCATCCTCTTGAGTGTACCTTGCTAATGTGTTTCTCTGTGAAGTCGGTGGCCTCCGGTGTTGACATGGACTACAGAGACAGGCACCATGGGTATCTTTTTCACTGGGAGAACAACTGCTCGGTCTCCTAATTGCCCCTGGAAGCAGGCTTTTGACTTTAGCGATACTGACTGTATTATGCTTTCCTCTCATTGGTAGGGTCTTCTTTTGTGGGTGTGTATGTATGCTCATGTGGGAAGAAAACCTAAGGGGCCTGCCTGCCTGTTTCCCCGGTACTGGTATTATGAGCACGTACCACATGTCTGGCTTTTTTGTGTGGCTGCAGTAGATGGAACTCAGGCCCTACTGTTGGTGTAGCAGGTACTTTACTAACAGAGCTGACTCCCTAACCCAGCAGGGCTTTTATCTACCTACCTACATACCTATCATCCATCCATCCATCCATCCATCCATTTTTTAACATCTTAAGGAGTCTCAGGCATACATTCTGTTTTCTGGGTCTGGCTTTTATATTTGGATAGCTGATCTAAATAGAAGTAACATCAGGAGTTTGTTCTTTCTCATCTCAGTGTCCAGTGGGTGGAGCAGGTTCTGCTAGAGGACTCTCCTGCAGAACTGCTTCAGTGCTCTGGTCTAGCAATAGGTCATGCCACAGTGTTTACCATAAAGCTTGACTGTGGCTTCTACCAGGATCTAGGTATCTCCAGGTCAAAGTCCTGCACCTTAGCGCTTTGACAATCATTGTTTCAGTTTGTCTGCCAGTTCTCCAAAAGTCCTAGGATGTACGCTGGGGTTGGGCTGGATCTACAGATCATAGAGGAGAGGCTCTATGTTTCTCAGAGCACTAGTCTGTGAACACAAATATGCAGAATCCTTGCTAGCCTAGGGATTAGTCATCTGGTCTTGGGGTGACTGGGGAGTGGCCACTTCTCTCTGCTGAGAAGGCCCCTGAGTGGTTACCTCATCATTCCTGCATGCTGGATTCACAGGGAAAACTGGTTTGGAGCTGGGAACCAGGTCCTAAGAATGTAAATTCCAATTTCTAAATTGGATTTTCCCAAGCAGATCAAATGATGTCCTTCTTCTGTGTCAGTCTGAGACTCTGTCCATCTCTCAGAGACAGAATTTCCTTATTATCCATTATAGGTCTGCAGGCCTTTCCTGCCTGATTAACTACAGAATGGCCAATTCTTTGACCATTTTCCACGAACAACCTTTAGTTCTGCTCCTTTCTTATGCTGCTGTTTTTTGTTTTGCAAATGTCTCACTTCACTTTTATAATTTCCTTGCTTCTGCGCTGTCTCCTCAGACTGTGAAGATGTGGAACTGGACCATGTTTCTACACGGCTGCTCTTCTGTAGTCTAACACCAACATTACAGAGACTCATTTCCTAGCTGGTGCCCTGCAAAGGGGAAACTTTCACATCACTTTCATACTTCCACACCACTCCCTTCCAAGTAGGACTCTTTCAGTGATGACTTCTCTCAGCAAGGGTACGGGGAAGTGTGCCGCAAACACACCTGTGGCTCTCCATACTGTTACAGGTCTCTGGCACACTGTCCTGGTCAGTGTTGGGCACCCATTTTAAAAGCAGGCGTACCCTTGGGCCGCTGGCCCTGGCTGTGTCTCTTCTGTCTGCTGCACTGTATTCAGCTGTTTCTGTTCTGAGTACTAAGCACTAAGGTTCCATTTTGCACACATTTTGAACATCACATCATGATGCTAAAATGCCTGCCTCAGAGAGTCAGCTGTCACCTTCACTGTTATGAGAATGGGAAAGTGGATCTTCCTTGCCTTTTAAAATCTCATCTGTTAGTATATTTATTTTTAAAGTTTTTTTTTTTTTTTTTTTTTTTTTTTTTTTTTTTAAAGGACAAGTCCCACAAGATCCAGGCGAGCTCAAACTGGTCATGTAGAAGAGATGATGGTCCCTCTGATCCTGCCACCCCCACTGCCACTAGGCATGCCCAGTTCATGTCCAAAAGCTAGGGACTGAACTCAGAGTCTTGAGTCCAACTGAACTGCAGCCCCGGCCCTAAGTGTTTAAATAGGGTGGAGGATACAGCTCCATTGTAGAGTGCTTTGCTTAGCCATGTGAGAGGACCTGGGTTCACCTCTAGCACTGCCCAAACACCCAAGCCCTAAAAGCCCACTTTATAAACACGTCTAAGATCTGTCTGACATGCTTGCATCTAGAAAGATTTTTCACAAAGCATTTTTAACTAGCCACCTTCTCATAGCCTCATTTGTCTTCTTTTCCTTCCTGAGCTTCTGCTTTTTTTTTTTTGAATGAAGAGTTGTTTTTTTTTTTTGTTTGTTTGTTTTTTGTTTTTTCGAGACAGGGTTTCTCTGTGGCTTTGGAGCCTGTCCTGGAACTAGCTCTGTAGACCAGGCTGGTCTCGAACTCACAGAGATCCACTTGCCTCTGCCTCCCTAGTGCTGGGATTAAAGGCGTGCGCCACCACTGCCCGGCTGAATGAAGAGTTTTAAATGTTTTATATCTCAGCTTTTATTCATTTACTTAAAATAATCATGTTTTGTTTTTGTTTCTTGAGACAGGGTCTCATTGTGTAGTTCTGGCTGTCCTGGAAATATGGAGGCCTGGCTGCCTCTGCCTCCTGAGTGCTGGGATTAGAGGTGTCTGCCAGCAAGCCCTGGGTTCTTCTCCACTTTAAAAATAGATTATATATACTTATTTTGTGTGTGCATGCAGACACTTGTTTGTGTGTGTGCCAAGGCTTACATGTGGAGGTCAGAGGACAATTGTGGGAGTCAGTTGTTTCTCACCATGTGGTTTTTAGAGACGTCAGGCACCTTTACGCACTGAGACATCTTGCCAGCCCAACCTTTATTTTTTCAGCTATGTTTTCCCTGGTTGTTGAGGGATTGTAACATACATCTCACTTCCCAAGCTCACCTTGAACGAGTAACACTACACACCCAGCAAGGGCCGTTCAGTCACTAACTTCTGGTGTTGTGCCACATGCAGTGTTCTGTACAGGGAACGCAATGGCAGGAAGCCATTCCCACCGATTCCTTCCTTACTGCAGGGAAGTAACCAGGACATCCTGTTGACTACAGTGCCATTGAGTGTACTCTCTGAAACACAATTCACCATGTACTCACATGCTGTGTGTGGATGCTACTGCTGCTTGCTTTTATGTTTTGCCAATTTTGGTGTGTTATTTTTGAAACAGGGTCTCGTGAAAATATGTAGAGGATGACCTTGAACTCTTGATCCTTCTTTCTCTACCTCCTGACTACTGTGCACTGCCATGCCTTGTCTACCAGATTTCACTCTAAAAATGAGCAGTAGACTTAGATCCTGATTTCCAAACTTTCACTAAAAGGAAGCAGGTTATGCTGGAGAGATGGATCAGTGGTTAAGAGCACTGACTGCTCTTCCAGGGAACCTGGGTTCTGTTCCTAGCACCCATATGGCAGCTCACAACCATCTGCAACTCCATTTTTCTTGTGGCCTCCACAGGCACCAAACACACGTTATTATGCACAGACATACATGCAAGAAAACCCTCATACCCACAAATAATAAAATAAAAAATAAAAACGAAATGGAAAGGAAGTTGAGTAACAGAGAAAGGACGGACCCCGGAGCTGTAGCAGGAAAGGCAGCACAGCCTGGACATGTGCACAGAGAAGCTGGCTAGTGTTTGAAGAGCACCATGACCAGAGTCAGAACAATGTGACAACTGGCTTGGAGGCTTTTGGAGTCTGTCACAATCAAACAGAATAAGGGAATGGGAAATATACAGTCAACAATGTCCAGAGCAGTGCTAAACAAGAGAGGGGATAGCTAATGACTGAGGAAGAGACAGGACTAGAGAGAAGCCATTCTTGGCATCACCAACTGACTTGGCAGAAAACTGGGAACAGAGTCCCAGGGTCCCCTAGAAGGTGATCTGCTTGTACAGAGACAGAGGCAACTTTAGATGAAGGACTAGGTGTAGCATCACTAAGGATGCATTCTTCAGAGTACTAGGTGTTCCTTCCATGGACGAGTACCATGATCCTGCCTGTGGGTCTTCTGCAATACCGCTCGACTCTTTAATACATGTGGGAAGAGCAGTGGACAGAGACAGAGGGAAGCAGGAGAGGACATGCAGCTAAGTGAGCTGCTGACCAAATGTGTGTGGGTGCTCTCAGTACCACATTAAAACCCCCAGTTAGTGGGCTGGGCGGTGGTGGTATACACTTTAATCACAGCACTCAGGAGGCAGAGGCAAGTGGATCTCTGTGAGTTTGAGGCCAGCCTGGTCTACAGAGTGAGTTCTAGGACAGCCCAGGGCTACAAAAAGAAACCCTGTTTCGAAAAACAAAACAAACCAACGAAAATCCACTCTAGTTAGTTTAGCAGGTGGTAAGCAGTCTGCAGGAAACTGCTTCAGATTGTGCTCTATCAGAGCAGTAGCATGCCCCTCCTTCTGGGTGATGTATCAGGGTATCAGTGAATCAGCCACAGGCCACCCACAGACTGAGAGGGAAGGGTGGAGGGAGTGTCTGACTTAGGGCTGAAGGTGCTGGATGGAAGCGGAGCAGCTCCAGGTCTGGGCGGAGGACACGGTGGCTGGCAGCTGCACACTCTTCAGTGCTGCTCCTAGAGCAGCGCTCAGCTGAGGGGCCTCGCCCTGTCTTTTCGGGATGACAGTGTTCCAGCAGAAATGCCAGAGGCCCCACAAATCCTGATGCCTAAGACGGGGCTAGACACCCCCCACTGTGGACACTGGCCTCTCCACTACCTTCTCCCATCATGTCCCTCTGAATGCAAAGGTGAATTTGAGGGCAAAGCAAGAATTCTTCTGCTGAGAGAGATCTTTTGCTGTAAGAATTAATTTTAGACCATGCCCTTTACATATACCAAAGGTGATGATGAACTTCAAATGTTAAACCACTTGCTTAAGGAATGAATTCTATGTACTGCAATAGCTGGTAGGATTATGAAGGCTGGAATGTAATTTATAAATGTGAACTTGTATTGGAAACCTTTGCCAACACCCATCAGCCTCCCAGCTTGTCTGCTGGCTTTTCAGGTTAAAGAAAGTGATCTCTTTTTTCCAATCAACAGCCATCCTGTGACCAGCTAACAGGCCGTTTTGTACTGCTCCACCTTAGGCTACCTCCAGAGGGGGGATTCTATGACCACTGCTCCTGTCCTAGGATTAGCATTTTGGACAATAGCTGGGGCCCCAGATGTGTCCTGTTCACCTGAAACCCATGGTCTGTCCTCTAAAAATTCTAGCTTTTCTGGCTGTTTTGTCCCATGACAGAGAGTGTTCTGATGACTCCTGTTCACTTGGGAACTAAAGAAATCCACTAGGAGACACTAGCTGTTGCTCCAGGGTTGCCCTGCTGCAGCCATAGTCTAGATTTTCAATGTCTCCCAGATGCCTATACACAAAATATTTGGTTCCCAAAGTGGTGCTTCAGGGACAGACTGGGACCATCAAGAGGGACATCAAAGGGTTTGGCCCTAACATGGGCACGTACCACAATTTACTGCCCCAGTACAGGCCCAAAGGAACAGGACTAATCAAAGCAAACCTTCACTCTTTGTAAGCTATTATTTCATGCACTGGACTATAGAGACGGAAAGGTGATTAACAGGAACGGAAGCAGACACCACGGAGTGTAGACAGGTTTACAAGTTAGAGATGAGCCAGAGAAAGCGCTAGGGCCCCAGTGTGATAGGGGAGGCCAGGGTAGCCTGGGGCTCTCACCAGGTCAAAGTGCCAGGAAACTGTGGCTTATAGAGTTAAATGGGCTATCAGGGGCCAGGCTCAAACCTAGTAGCTGGGATTTCTGCTCTATAACCATATTGGCTGACCTCCTCCCTGCCCTGCTCACCATCGTATGCCACCCAGTCTCCAGTGTCCATCACTGGAGAAAAAGCAGGGCACCGAGACAAGGAGTTTGTACTTTTCAGCATTGACCCCTCTGTTCCCTACAGACAGGTAAGAGGAACCAGTGCAGATCCAGCAAAGACAGCAAGGTCCCTGAGCTGGTGTTAAGGAAAAACAAGGTGCAGAGCAAGGTCATGCGTTGGCTCCAAAGGCATAGACACAACTGTGCCCTGAATCCCCCCATATGTTCCTGGTAACACACTGCCCCAAGAGACAGTAACCACTGCTAGGTGAGCCTGGGTTCCCAGGAGACATTACCAATGAAGTTACTTGCAACTGCCTCACACAGGTGACATCAAGACTTCAGACATACATTTTTTTTTCCCCTGTGAGACATGATAGCCTACCTGGAACGGGTTCGTTTCCTGCTGGCTCCAGGGCTACCACTCATCCGGTAGGCAGTAGGGACACTTCTGTCTTCCCGTCGTCTCTCAGGAGAGTGTGCTCTCCTTCTTGGGGACCGAGAGCGTGACCTAGATAGAGAACAAGGTGAACTTTAGCTTTTGTCTGAGGCCTGGTCTGTGTGGTATGCACCTCCCTACTATGAGGCCAGAGAGGCCCCTGTCTGAGGCGCAGGCTGCTCAGGCAGGCCCTGCCCTACTGACACCAGCTGGGAGGCACAGAACCTCTCCCCACCCCTGCCTTGCTACAGCACAGCGCAGGTCTCCAGGAGGCTGCACTTGCTCCTCCCTGCTCCTGCCCTGTGCTCACTCACGGCCTGAAGCTTTCAGTTCACTCAAGCTGTTCCTACCCTTGGGCAGGGAAAGGCGCTGACATTCTGGCAGAAGGGAGAAACTAAAGGTTGAGAAGCCAAGGACTGCAGGCTGCACCTTGCCATCTCTCCTGTCACTCATCTCAGGCTATGCGGCAGGAGGTAAAGGACCACGCTGCAGGCCCACTGGCATGAAGCCCAAACCCTGCACCTCTCAGAACATGATGCCCTCATGACAGACTGATTAAGTTTATGGGAGGTTTCATGGACACAAAACCATCTATTAATACTTATTCTTTGTTTGATTCATGCTCAGATTTACTCCACATATGGCAAGAGAGACCCTCAGACCCCTCTCACCCTTTGTGGATGTAGAGGTCCTTAATACAGGTTCCTCAATGAAGGCTTGGGATTTTTATTTGCTATTTTAGGAAAATCTCCAATAAGCAAAAATTTAGGGGGGAAAAACCCTACCAAACCCAAACTCCTCTCTTTGTTCTGTTTCCATGACAACCCACTCAAAAACAATATAAAGAGAGCAGTTTGATTCCACCATTTGAGAAAGTTCTTCATTAACTCATTCTAAGCACAATGAATTCCTCCCTCCCAACAGAAACAACACACAAGTTGTTCAGGAATCAAGTTCTGGTCACACCCTGGCCCCCATGTGGGGCCTCTCCAGCAGGGCTGGCCTAGGTGGTGTGCCTCCCCAGACCTTCCCTAGGCTACACAGACTACAGAGGTGGGGGCAGTCAGACACCTTGACGGTTTACCAGGTTTCCCCTCAAAAGAGCTCCAGGAGTCAAAGCTGCTCGAGGCCGAGGCTGCCTGATAACTCTCCTGCTGTGCTGCCGCCACTGCCGAGCTGCTGGGACAAGGCTCCACACTCAAGATCCCTGGGGAGGCTGAGGGCCTGCGGTCGGAGGCACATACTTGACATTCAGAATGAAATGTGCCGGGCTGGGTGCTACCAGAGCCGTGAGTAAAGCTCCGCTCACTCAAAGCTTAGCACCTATGGACGCTTAGCAAAGAATTCTACAATAAACTCAACAGTTAGGAAAAATAAGTTAGTTTTGAATGCCTGCAGATTCAGAATGTTGAAGTACAATACCGTTTTGCAGTGGCCATTAGCATTATGAATTCCTCAGAGCACATGGCTGTTCCCAGTAGAGTTCCAACCTTCTGGGAAGGAAGCCCTGCTCAGAACAGGGCAGCAAATAACAGCCGGTAATTCTTTAGGTTTCACTTTAATTAAGTAGGTCTTACTGCTTTTAATTTTGTTAACCAGGCTCTTAATGTTGATGCCAGGACAGTGCAAGAGCCGGGAATCCGGCTTAAAGTCAATCAGTAGTTCAGCGTCACCATAGGCCTTCTTAAAGAAGACAAATCAGCCTCATGTAAAAACTTCCAGGCATAGTGAGTGCAACGAAGATATCCCTTCTTGAAAGACCACAATGCTTTGCTCTGGAGGCAGGAGACTTAATGATAAAATTCCAAACTATTGTCTGAATGCCAGTGTCTGCTCCTCCCTGCTCCTAGGCTTCTCACAGCTGTGGGCAACAACAGGCTACTTGGCAGCCAGGGTCCGGGTCTAACCTAGTAGAACCTGGCTACTGGTGTGAAGGTTAACTGGATAGGGTGAAGTCACCTTCTGTTCACCCCATTCACAGGCATGGCATTGTGAAGTGCAGGCACCTGAGCCTTACCTGGCTTGGCCACAGGTCACCTCAACATAATACTACTGTCCTACACCCACAGGGGTGGCACCACACGGGAGGTCCCAACCACCCTCCTTCCTTTAACAAACAGGTTTGCAGGACTAAATGTGCTTTCCTGGTCTGTTTGTTACATTGTTTATCGCTGGGAATGGGATAGTAAAGACTCACTAATTTTACACTAAAATATGACCTCAATTTAACCTGCACAAGGTCTTTCTTACTTTTTTTTGAGACAGGCTGTCCTGGAACTAGCTCTGTAGACCAGGTTGGCCTTGGAGACCCAGCAGCCTCTACCTCCCATGAGCTGGGGACTAAAGGTATGTGTCACCATGCCCAGTTTTCTTAATGCCAAATAAAACTAGCAAAAACCAACCAAACAAACAAAATCCCCTTAGCCTGCACTCTTCCCGTGCTCGAAGGGATTTATGGAGAAATGTCTTTATCACGCAGTTCTCCATACTGCTGGGCTGCCCACAGGCCTTAGCTGAACACTGAGGGGATCTGACTATGAAAGCTCAACAGATAAGCAACTTGACGTGTCACTGGTGGACGTTAGTGCAGTAACACCCAAATCATTACTGTGACTTAGCCATGTGCCTGCTGCTTCACCTCAGGAAGACAGAATGCTGGACACAGCACAGCTGAGAGCTGGACAAGTCTTAGGCTTTGGTCAAGGCTGACTCAAATCCCTCACAGTCACTATGCTTTCGGAGGTACTGGGCGTCACTAGGAGACTAAAGAATTTTGCTAAGAAGAACTTGTCTTTGCAGATCCAAAGTCACCTACAGTTTGGACATATGAAGAAAGCAGTTTGCGCCTTACGAGCACATCACACAGTAAATGAACATCACACTGTCCTGCATTTTACATCAGACCAGAACCACTTAATAGAGAACACACTTCAGTTACAGTATGCTATCACGGGAGAAAGCCAACGACTGCAGCATCTTACTTTGAGCTAGCAGTCATCATTTAAAAATGACCACTTAGGCTGTGCCAGGCCTGAAAAGTAAGTCTAGTATGTCCCATTGTAGATGTTACCATGGCAACGAGTTACTCTACCTGAAAAGATAGTTAAAGACAAATAATGATGGTATCATCAACACTTTCTGCACTGTGGTTAGAATGTCAACAGCACATAGCATGAACTTGCCATCCCATTTCAGTCACAGTTGCAACGTTTTATTTGGTGTCTTTTTGTCTTCAAGATATTGTCTTAGTATGAAGACCAGGCTGGCCCTGGACATCCTCTCTTCTCCTGCCTTGGTCTGAGTGCTGGGATCATAGGCATGGCTACTGCACCTGCCATAACCATGGCTTTCAAACAGCTTTGATCCTGGGAACAACAGTGTGGGCAGGGCCTGGATCAGGCAGCTTTGCTTTCAGCTTGGGAAAATACAATCCTAACCCAGAGAGCATGAGGAACAAGAGCGAGAGTGAGGTCCATGTACAGCCGAGGACAGCAGCTTCTAGGGTCCATGTTCCAAGCTCTCGGGGTGTTTTGCGTACAGACAGTAGTTAGAAGGTGGGTCACATTACCAACACTCTTTATCTGCAGAAAGGCTGTACATGTCTTGATATTTATCTAAACTGTAAAGCCAAACATCAAATGCTGTAAATTATGTGAGTTGTTTAACCAAATTATTCAAAAGGATCTTTTTGATCCTGTCTCAGCCCCTGAGGTGGACGTTTGGGGAGCTTTGAGAATGACCAGCTGTAAAACATTTTCATTGAAGGTCAAATTAAGATAAAAGTGAAGGCCTACCATCAGAGAAGAAATAATGGTCAGAAACATTTCAGCTTTGTTTGTCTTTTAACTGACAGTTATACTAAGGAGCAGGATTTTGCTCCTGGACCTGTAGGCACTGAAGATATAAAGTGTTATAAATAATGCACTTGTATAAAATATACAAACCTAAGTCTATTGCAAACTTAAAAACACTTTAAAATGTAAGATAATATATAAAATAAGCTAGTCCATTATAGTTAAGGACTACAGTTAACTGTAGTCAGGAACTTACAAGGCAGGTGTTAGGTGAACACTCCAAGTCAGTAGCACCACTACCTGGGGACAAGCTGGGTAGCCAAAGCACAAGGCAATCTGCCCTACCACACACTGAGATTAACGTGGGTGCCTGAGGTGAGGAAGGGCCTGGGCAACCAACCCTCTCTACTGGCTCAAAGCCTGGGAGTCATGAGGAAACTGTTTTTCCCCCTGTCTGAGCCCTGGAGCAGAGGAAATCAGGGTGAACTGACTAGCCAGAATGAGACTGAAGGATAGGTACAGCCTGTGTTGTTTGGATCTGTAACACAAATTCTAGGAGCTTAAAAAAATAAATAAAAATCTAAAGCATGACCACAACTAAATGACAAGCTTTCTGGTAATGGTACAAAGTGCTGAACTTCCAAGAACCAGAACCAAAGGCTCACCATGTAGACAAACACACTCAGTGAAGACAGTCATACACACTAGTGACTGCTGAATCTCATTTTTAAACCTTTCAAACCTTTTAAGAGGTATGCTCTGAGACCTATAAAGTTCAAGTTTACTAATTCTGTTGCTAGAAATGCTAAACTGCTTCTTTAACACCTGGCTCCTTATCAAGAGGGCTCTTTGGTAAAACGTTTAGAGGCAGCAGGCTGAGGTGAAGAAACAGATCCACACAGCTGCCTCATCCACACTCACTTGCAGACACTCTGTAGAACATCTGAACACAGACTGAGTGGGAAGGGCTGCTGTACCACTTCACACTCAGAAGCGATCAGCACAGGAAAGTTCATTCACACAAAATAACTCCAGCATTACCAGCCTATGAATTTCTACAACTCAACACGTGTCACTCCCTTTATGTTCTGTAAAGCAAACAATCCCCCCACTCTCTATAAGGCAGTCTCATGGTCTCAAATTTGCTATACAAAGATAACCTTGAATGCCTTGATCCTTCTGCCTCCATCTTCCGAGCGCTGGGATCACAGGCATGTGTGACCATGCCCACTCACAACTTCGTTCTTCAAAAAATCTTGATGGGAGGGAGAGGATAAGTTTTTTGTTTGTTTGCTTGTTTTTCAAGACAGGATTCTCTGCGGAGCCCTGACTGTCATGGAATTCACTCTGTAAACCAGGCTTTCCTGGAATTCACAGAGATCTGCCTGCCTCTGTAGGCGTGTACCACCACCCAGCAACTCATTTTGTGTGTGTGTGTGTGTGTGTGTGTAGGTCAGAGGGCAATACTCGGTGTTCTTCTTCAGTAGCCATTCACTGTGAGTTTTTTTAAAACTAGTCTCATTTTCCCTAGTTATCCTAGAACTTGCTATATAGATCAGGTTGGCCTTGAACTCAAAGATCCACCTGCCTCTGCCTCCTGAGAGCTGGGAGTAGGGCTTTTGTCCACATATCCAGCTCATTCACCTGACTTTGGGACAGTCTCTCACTGGCCTGGACTTTGCTGATTAGGCTAAGCTGGCTAGATGAGCCCCAGCCGGTATCCACCTCCCATGCTAGAACTGGAAGCACACACTACCAGGCCTGGCTTTTTCACCCAAGTCCTCATGTTGTATAACAAATTGTACTGACTGAGCTAGTACCCTAGTGTAGCTTAGACTGCCTTAAACTGGAGATCCTCTTGCTTCCACCTCCAGAGTGAAGAGTGAAGTATAAATAAGCTATGCAGAGATAAGAAGCATAAATAAATCATTTAACCTGTAGTGGCTGATGAACTTTGAAAAGCCTAAATAATATCTGAAAGATTTCGTTTAGATTTGCAGGATGCCACACACACACACACACACCCTAGTGCATTCACCAGCCTAGTGAAAACTATGCTTATTTTAAACATACATAACCCCTCCCCCCCGCCCGGTGTGTTCATCAGCCTAGTGTACCCTGTGCTCACTTTAAACCTTCTGCTGGCTCTACAGGGTGCCAGGAGGAGGCTCAGCATGCAGGGCAGACCAAGAGCAGGAGGGTATGAGCGCCTGCACACCCACCTCGACCGCCGCACTGTCCGGTAGGCACTGGGCAGGGAGTGCTTGGCTTTTGAGTGGGATCTAGACCTGGGCTTGGAAGACGAGTGGTACTTGGGGGAGCGGGACCTCGTTCGAGACCGTTTTTTGTGCTTCTTCTTCTTCTTTTCTCTTTCTTCTTCTCTTGGTGGGTCTCTACATCTGCTTGAAGGCCTTTCTGGAGGCTTCACTTCTAACATGGGCAGAGTTCTACCTCCAACCAGCAGAGGACAGGGCATGACACCGGTTTCCTGGAAACATAAGTGAATGTGTGGATGTCAACAAGAAATATAACACTTGAAATGTAGATAGCTCAGGGGCTGTTATTTATAAAAATTCCCCTGCTGGGTGTATGGATTACACCTGTGACTGAGACATGTAGAGGGCGGAAGTAGGAAAACTGCCTTGAGTTTGAGGCCAGCTTGGGCTACAAAATTTAATTCTAGACTAGCCTGGTATATAGTGAGATCCTGTCATAAAAGACAAACAAACCTCTGGCCTTTCAGGAAAAATATGGTTTAACTAGTCATCGATTGCTACACATGGAAGATTTCTCATTTTGTGCCTAGATGATTTAGCAGTAAGGCTTATGGGAAAACTCAAGGGAGATGCTCTGTGTGAGCAGCCTCTCATACTGCCCCTGATGTCTGGGAGCCCTGGAATGGGATGGGGACAGAGGTGGTGTGCACATGCATTTGTAAACCTGCAACTGTGGGTACGGGGGCTCTGCCATCGGGCCCATTCTGGCAGCTAATTAGCATCTCTGTACACAATTCTTACAAAACTACCAGCTCACAATGAAGAGCTCTGTCCAGTAGGTTGAGCTGAGGCCAGATGGCTACCTGCAGTTGTCAGACAGGAGGGAGAGCTCTCAGTTTTTCCTTGAACTCCCTTCTGCTTAGGCCACCAGCTCATAGGCTTATCATCACTGATGCAATATTCTTAGCTAGTGTATATACTGCTTAAAATTTTAGTATACCATTAATCTCTTTCTTCTTTTAGATAGGGTCTCACCTATGTATTCCTGGCTGGCCTGGAACTCATAGAAAGTGCTGCCTGAGTGCTGAGACTAAAGGCAATTTCTGTGAGTTCTAACATATCCATCCAGTACTAATTTTCTATGTCAATGAGTACATTTAAAGACATCACTTAAGATCACACCTTGATATGTAAAGCCATCTAATGGCCAATGGCACTGGGAAGACTAGCATGCAGAAAAGGACCATGTATGTCCCTGTACATGGTGGAATGCTACTCTCTGGGTACCTGCCCATCCTGAGGATGTGACCTTATCTCATATGAAGAGCCTGCAAGAACTCTTATCTACATCTAGGTGGTTAACTGGGTGAATGTGCCAATATTTATGGGCAAAGAACACATTAAGTTACTCAGCAAAGTCAACGACAGCCTATCCATGAAGTTTCTTGATAGTGACAACATTTTGGGTTTGACTCTTATTATTAACTGTCAATTTATTATGAGTTCTTCAGTTTCAAAGCAGTCAGACACTTATCACCATCTGCTCCTCATGTTCCCTTTCTGTTGAAGCAGTTCTGCTGAGATAATCTTTATGTGCACACACAATCAGGGAGACCATTCCAGAGCCAAACATCCATGGATTATAGACAGGGTTAGTGTTGGCAGACAAGAATGGAGTCATCCTGAGAGAAGACAGGGGCTGGGTCAGCACTTTGGTGCTGCCAGCAGGCTGATGACAAACAACCTACATCAGAACACAGAGGCAATCTTGCAACCATGGCTTGTTTTTATCTATATGCAGATATGGCTTTACATATTTTTTTTATTTTTTGCTATTTTGGAGACAGGGTTTCTCTATGTAGCCCTGGTTGTCCTGGAACTCACCCTGTAGACCAAGCTGGCCTTGAACTCATAGATTCATCTGCCTCTGCCTGAGTGTTGGAATCAAAGGTGTGTACCACCATCACCCAGTGGCCTTATATTATTTCTTAAAAATTAATATAGACTAAAATATAAAATTATATAAATATATAGTTATCAATGACATGGAAAATGTATCTATATATCAATTATGAAATGTTATGACATACATAATTTTTAAAAATTAATAATATAAAAATAAAAATTAATGCTATAGAATATATTTATATATTATCTGTTTCGAGTGTGGAGGTCAGAGGACAGCTACTGAGTCTGTTTTCTCTTTTCACTATGTGGGTCCCAGGGATGAACTCATGCTTTATTAGGCTTGGCAGCAACTGTGTCTACCTGCTAAGCCTGCCCATGCTGTCCTGTCTGGCTTTCACCCCACTTTGAGATAAAGTCTCATCTAGTGCAGGCTGACTTTGAATCTGCCATAACTAAGGGTGATCCAGAACTTCTGAACTGCCTTACCCCCAAGTGCTAGTATTATCGGGTGTGCTAACATCTATCAAAGACAAAACCTAAGACCCTCTGCATTCCAGCTTACAGATGTCTTAATGAGTCTCTTTGTTCATTGTACAAATCAGAATGAAATAAGAGATTCAGCAAGCTTCATGCATGCCTGCCCATCTCCTTCCATAACCGCAGGATTCACATTCTTGTGCTCCTTCCCTCACACCGATGCCACAGTGCCAGATGAATGCCCTTAGCTGGGGCCACAGTGTACCATGGCTGCCTTCAGCTGGGTAAACTCTGTTCCTACTTTCTGTAGGAACCGACCTTATGTGAGGAACCAGAAGGCAGTCCACCTTTGTGGGGCTCTGGAAAATGGGGTTGCTATGTTCTGCCACCTCCCTGAAGAGCTCATTCTGGCAAAGACAGGGCAGAGGTCGGCATGAGGACAGGACCACTGAGAACATGTGAGGTGGACACAGAAGCAGCGGGTCTCAACATCCAGGAGGTGGAAAACAGTCTCTAACCACAGATACACTGCAGACTCCAAAGGCACTTACAAGTGTCAATACAAGTTAAAAGGGCGAAGGAGCCAGGAGTGGTGGCTGAGGCAAGAGAACTGATATGTGGTTCAGCCCCCTTTCCCTTTCCAACAATAGCAAACCAGAGCAAAGAGCTTGTTCTGAATTATGAGGGAAAACCAAGTGTGGAAGTCTGAATGAAAATGGTCCACAAAGGCTCACAGGGAGTGACACTATTGGGAAGTGTGTCACTGGGGATGGGCTTTGGGGTTCCAGAAGCCCAAGCCTGGCCCAGTGGCACTCTTTCTTCCTGTTGCCTGCTGATCTGGATGTAGAACTCTCAGCTAACCCTCCAGCACTGTGTTTGCCTGCACACTGCTATGTTTCCTACCACGATGATAAGAAACTAAACCTCTGAACTGTAAGTCAGACTCAATTAAATATTTTCCTTTCTAAGAGTTGCCAAGGTCGTAGTTGTCTCTTCACAGCAATAGAACCCTAACCAAGACCAAGCATAATAGATATTTGAAGACACCTGGAGACAAAGCCTTGCTATGTGGTCCAGGCCGTCTTCCAAGTACGGGGATTCTAGGGGCATGCCTGAGAGATTGTTATATTTTTCCTAAATATTTTAATTTTTAAATCATATATGTATGTTTGTATCTGTATGTGGGTATGGCATGCAAGTGTAGCTGCTTACAGAGTCCAGAAGAGGATATCAGATCCTCTGGAGCAGGAGTTGCAGGCTGCTGTGAGTTGCCTGCGATGGGTGCTAAGAACCAAAATCAGGCCCTATAAAGCTGTATGTACTTACTTTTAAGCACTCCCACCCCAAATCAAAGTTTAGGATAAGAAAAAGAAGAAGAAAAGTGGCCATCATCCTCCCTCAGTCTCCCAATTACGATTACTGGTGTGAGCCACAATGCCCAGGCAACATTACAATTTTTTTTCAAGATTTATTTTCTGTGTATAGGTGTTTTGCTTGTTCATATGCACTGTGTGTGTCTGTGGGGGCTAGAAGAGGGCGTCAGAGCTCTGACAACTGGAGCTATGGATGACTGTGAGCCACTATGTAGGTGCTGGGAATTAAACTCTGGAAGAACAATCATTGCTCTTAACTGCTGACCCATCTCACCAGCCTCCCAAGAAAGATTCTGAAATGACCACTTTGAACTGCTCTTCAGAAGCACCGAGTCACAAGACTGCCCCTGGGTCTGCATTCCAGCTGTGTCACCCTTCAAGCCTCGAGGTATTTGATGCACTGCTAGTTTTCTTACTTGGAAAACTTACATTTCTAAAAGCTTCTTGAACTCCGCCATGAATTCCTAGATACCCATGAAGTATTCCCCCCCCTCCCCCCCCCCCCCCCCCCCCGCCAAAGAAAAGTCTTAAAAGATACCTATCAAGAATCCAGAAGAGAAGACCCAGGGTTGGGGATGCAGCTCAGGGTAGGGCACTTACCTGCTACACATATGGCCCAGGGCTCCTTGACCAGGTCTAGATAGGCATGACCAGAATTTTCACTGAATGACATACTGCTGCCGCCAACAGCATTTACTCAGAGTTCCTGGTGCTAGGCATTGCTTCACACCAAAGTACCATGTGACGATCTTGTTCAAGGCCACCACTTAGGAAGGAGCTGCCTGGGCTAAGACCTCTTGGTGTTGAGGATGAGCTCAGGGCCTCCCACACATTAGTGCTCTTCCACTGAGCACACTCAGAGAAGACAAGAGTGGCTACAGTTTGCTTCTTCTTTTCCCTAATTACAACATAATGCAGATACAAGTGATCTCTGCCCTAGTGTAAGCTCAACAATGTGGGTGCGACCACTGAGGACCGACCTAGCCATATCTGTCTGACCACATGTAGCTGGAGCCCCTGCAAGGGTAGTCATGAGCTGAGCTTCCTGATCAGGATCTATGGCTGTGTTCTAAGACTGCAGCCTGCCTTTGGTGTGTTTACAGGTAACTGTCACGGCATCTCTTTTCACAGACTCAAAGCTCTCAACAAAGCCCGTGCCTCTATGCTGCTGCCATCTGACTCAAGGTTGGGGTTCCATGGGCAGAGCAGGGCAGAGGCAGCTTTCCTCTACAAACCCAAGCGGGCTCTCAGGACTTCTACATACCTCTACACTGAACGCACTCTCCTCAAGTTTTCCAACTTCTGTTTCTGGAAGAGGATTTTTTAAGGTTTGTAAAAACAAAGCTGCTTTCCTTTTACGTTCAGCCTGGAGCTGCTTCTCCTTTGATTCCTTGGATGCCTGGGCCAGCTTTTCCCGTGCAGCAGCAGCAAGGCGGTCCTCCAGCTTTTGTTTTGCTATAGAAAACAAGGAAGGGAGAGTTTACGATAAGCAGTGTTTTACTTCTAATTCTCACAGGCACCTTCTGGCCATACAGCACTGCCATTTCAACAGCAACCTCAGAGCAGACAGACACCTGGGACAGACCACAAGTTTGAGAAAATAAACTTATTATGTTTATTATTTTTATGCTTAAAGGGATGTACTCCAAAGGCAGCGAGGCTGAAGGGGTTCCATGATGGTAGAAGCTGGGGCTGGATTCTGGGAACTGCAGAATGGCTCTCATGCACAGGAGCCCCCAACACTGCAAGTGTCTGGATGATCACTGCACTTAATTATGCCTTGTGGGAAGTGTCTTAGTTCAGAGGGCATGAAAACTACTGAGGTCACGCACAGAGTGCAAACAAACACAAGTGTGACTGTAAGTGAACTGAGGGACAGCAACTATGGGATCATGACATGCTCTCCTCTGGAAGACATTGGCTCCAAGAGCATCCTTTAATCAGTGCTGTATGGTCTATTCATGCATACCCAGACACTGCAATCCAAGAAAACCAGTTAGTACAGGTAAAAGCACAAATGCATTTATTGAGTAACTCCTTCACTATGGAATACGACTTATTTTGGAGGTGCAGATGTCCCCAAAATGCTAAGCATTTTACCACAGTTCCAGTCCCATTCCATGTCCCTCACATGCTGTTGGCCATGCTCTGACCCCTGAAGATGATCCAGAGACATCAACTCTGCCAGGCATCATCTTCAAGGGCTGATGGTTTTGCCGAGAGACATTCCTACAAAGGGCCTCTCCCAGTTTGGTGCATTAACTGGAGCTGGGAGTCCAGGCCTGGTGCCTCACCCTGGGGCTGTTGTCCAAGTACAAAGTGCGTCTCCATTAGAGCTGCCCACTTAGCGCATTAAGCTGCTCTGAGTACAGATTGCCAAGGGCACTGCATCAAGCTAAGGAGTGCACAGTGCCACACAACACTGCATGTAGGACTTTCAGAGCGCTCCTGCATGGCTCCAGGCTTTGATTTGTAGTCTTAGAATTTCTGGTTTGCACATAAATCTTATATTTGTCTTTTATCTTTCAAGAACTTTAAAAGCTATCAACAAACCTTGCTTTGCTTCTAGCTCCTCCTGGGTGAGCTGGGGCTTCTTCTCCTCCACGACCACACAGGGTGGGGCTGCGGCTGGGCTGGGGTTGGCCACGCTGTTTGTGCTTTCCTGGCATTCCCTGCTTTCTTCATCTTCTTCACTATCATCATCCAACTTGACTCGGTTTTTTTCCAGAGGAAGTAGGTCATTTTCTTTGGCCTTGATGGCAAAGCTTATTGGAGCAAATGAAGCTGCTGGGAAAAGGTGACAAGTGTGATACAGTTTTAGGCACCAGAGCAAAACGTGCAGACATCATAGGTACCAGCACTTACAAGAAAGATGGCGGACAGGCGATAGCACCTGTAGTGAAGGCACACTACAAGGGAATCTTGTTTAAATACTTGAGGCAAGGCATCAGACTGGGGTGTGTGTCTGAACCATGCTTAACAAGGACAGCATAGTGGTGGTGTCATAGCAGACACACCTGCTGAATATGAAACGGTCACCTTTAGTCTGAATAACCAATTTTGTCATTTTCCTTTTTGTAATGTGTGTGCTTGAGAGTATGCCATGTGTGCAGGTCAAGGTTAGAGGGCAACTGGGAATCAGTCCTCTCCTACCACATGGGTTGTGGGCATTAAACTCAGGCTGGCAGAATTGGTGGCATAAGCCTTTACCCACTGAACCGTCTTGCTAGCCTGCCATTTTTCTTTAAAAAAAAAATTTTTTTTTTCAAAAACAATCTTATATGTAGCTGAACTGGTATGACTGAGCATGTGACATGGCTCCACTAAGAAATGGTGTCTAGAAAACCACGTTACATTAAAAGAAAAAGAAAGCCTGTCCTTCAAGCAAAATCCGAAACAACACACAGAATTCATTCTTTTATTTAGTGAACATGGCAAGCATCCTGTCAGACTGCGATCTATACCTATCACAAGTATTTCAATGTGTAACAAAAATTTAGGTGATACCCCTAAACACTTCAGAGAAACGCAAAAGCCTTAAAGGATATCTGTCAACACTGACTCTCTGTCACTCACTACACTGAGTGAGTGGCTCCTAGCAGTCACAGATGAAGTCAGACACTACAGCCTTCATCCATGATGGGCATCAAGAAGCTACACTGAAGGGCATCTGCAGAACAGCTGCCTCTGAGTGAGGCAGACTGTGGGACACTTACTGCAGTTCCCCTGCACCTCTCCCTCACCCTGTCCCCCAAGCTTCTCAAGACAGGACACTTGGCCATGTGCTGGGCTGAAGAGAATTTATATCTGTGACATACGCCCCATTTAATACGCAAGAGCCAGGAAAGCAGACTTCCATGCGACTCCTGGTAAGAAGCGGAGCGCACTTTGAGCTGCTGTGGTACTGTAATGCTGATCCAATATTAACCAAAGTCCTCATCTTTCATAGTACAACCAAGATGTCTATGCTAATGCATATGAGGATCTGTGGCAGCAGATTCTGAGTGGAATGGAAGACAGGGACAGAGAGACACAGAACAACTGCAGTCCAAGGGCCTACTGCTGAAGGCAGCGGAGTACTTGGTGAGGCGATGTGGGCTACTGTTCCACGTGCTGTTTTTGCACATGTCTTAAGGTTCCTTAAGAAAACTTAAGTTTGCCAGGTGTTGGTGACGCACACCTTTAATCCCAGCACTCAAAAGGCAGAGGCAGGCAGATCTCTATGAGTTTGAGGCTAGCCTGGTCTACAGAGCAAGTTCCAAGACAGCCCAGGCGACACAGAGAAACCTTGTCTAGAAAAAGAAAACAAAACAAAACAAAAAGAAAGAAAGCTAAGTTAACAAAAACAAATCCTTTCCTGCCTGTGGTAATATGGTCTCTTTAATAAGCAGAGGGTCAAAGACATTTTTAAAAGAGAAAATTCATAAAATGTTAATCGACTCACTTATGAAGTTAGACAAAAAATACAAGATGATTTAAAAACACTTGTACTGTTTGCAGAAAAGGACAAGCAGATCATGACAACGGAAGTATGTGAGCACTTTGCAACACAGTCTGGAGAGCATTCAGTTAGACACAGAGCCAAAGCACCCTTACCCCCATACAAGGAACCTAATTACAGAGCCACTTAACCTGTGCATCTCAGTGTCCTGTCTCACTGTTGACGACTGATTAGATTATCAGGGCCCGTACCCCATGGCACTGATGAGAACCAAGAGGCCAAGGCCAGGAAGCTTCTCTAGGTAAGTCAGCCCAGACAAAGGCCCTGAGAATTCTGGAATATTCCGGTTACACAATTTGCACACCACATCTTGCATTACCACTGATCCTAAGCTCTTTCTCCAGGTGGCACATACCTTGTATGATCCAGCTATGCCCTTCTGCACTGTGCTCAGCTGAGACAGGTGTCCTTGCCTGCTGCCTGTAGGATCTGCTCCTTTTGGCACATCTGACCCTCAAGGATGGGTCCAGCACCCATGGCCTCATAGCTTCTTCTCTTACTTCTGGGTAATAACTGCATGTGTGTGTACACATATATATGTGTATATTCCGAGATGAGCTCTTAGCTATGTTGCAGGTACCTGACACCGCCTAGATGAGTATTACTATTATTACTAATTATATGTTGTTCTTGTGGTACATTCATGTGCCCAAATGTGTGCAGATGAATACATCTGTATGAGAGGGAACAGAGGTTGATGTTTTTGGCAGTTGTTCTCCACTTTGTTTTTTGAGACAAGATCTTTCACTGAAACTGGTATTTATCAATGGCTAGCCTAGCCTGGTTGGCCAGTGAGCTCAGGGAGTCCTGTTTCTGGGCCTCCTCAAACCACACGCGAGGGTTACAGCCATCCCTGGCTTTTTAGTAGGTGCTAGGGATGGGACCTCAGGTCCTCATCCTTGCATAGTAAGCACTTTACCCACAGAGCTATCTCCTCATCCCTGATACATTTTTTTTTTAAAAAATCTGTTTTTAGAATTTTAATTATTTTAGATTCATTTGTGTGCATATTTTGCCTGCATATATGTATGTGCATCATGTGCATACCTGGATTCCCTAGGACTGGAGTTATGGGTGGTTATGGGTACTAGGAGAAGACTCCCAGTACTATGGGGGAAGCCAACCCAGGTCCTCTGCTCTAAAACACCAGCACACTAGTCACGTGTCTTCCTCATCTGAAGAATGCCCTCAGTCCATTTTCTGACCCAGAAAAGCTCTTTCTAGAGTAAGGACTTTAACCCTTCATCGTCCAACTTACTGTCATTTGCCTTTTAACTTTACTCTGGCTCTGTTTCCTAGATCTGTAAGCCTGATTTCTGGCTTCAACTCTCTGATTCTAAGGATCATAATACATATACTATATATATATGCAGGTTATAATACATATATATTATATATATGCAGGTAATACATACATGCATACATATACATATACATACATACATACATACATATATATACACACACAATTACTTTCCTTCCCCCTGGCTTTTCCTCCTTCCTCTCTCTACCAGGTCTCATGTAGGCTCACAAAGCCTTGAGCTCCAGATCTTCCTGCTGCCTTCACCTCCAGTGCTGAGATCATGGGCATGCACTACCCACACTGACTACATTTAGAAACTGAACTTCTGGAATCACTGCTGTTAGACACCTGAGTCTTATAACTCTTTAAAAGTTAAGGGGGCTTACAAGATGGCTCAGTAGGCAGGGAGCTTGCTGCTAGGTTTGACAACCTAAGTTTGATCCCAGAGACACACATGTTGAAGGAGGAGTCAAAGAGGAGCTTGCCTGTGCAGCCTCAGTTATCATTACACTACTGAAGTTTCAGAAGACCAACACTCTCTCGGGGCCTAGGGAGACAAGACCCCAGAAGTCTGCTTGCAGACAGGTGATGGAGAGGCCATCCCAGGGCCCTGGAACAACACCACTGCTTATTCCTGTCACCGCTTTAGTACAGTTGGATTCCATTTAATATTTTAACATCATGCTTCTAAGTGCTGAGGTCTATAGATTGCTGAGCTCTGAGAGCTTCTTAATTCTGTCTCCCATAAGCCCCAGAGAAGCTCTACTGACAGAGACGATCTAGTTCTCCAGGGTAAATTAAGCCAACCTTTAATTTGTTTTGGCCTATTGCCTGGTTCTAGAGGCTGTGCACCAACCAATATTTTAAAAATCTGCCAGACTAAAAATCTGTCAGTTTTCCTTTCTTTCTCTTATTTTCTTGAAATACTTTTGGCAATCTATGTTTCTTTGAAATGGTATTTTTCAGTGATTTCAGTTTATTTCCATTTAAGGTTATGTATATGCTATCCATGTAGATTTTGAAAAAGATTTACAACTTTGTGTTCATATCTGCATTCTTCTTCTCTTGAGCACATGCAACATATTTTACTGGTCTTTAAAAATTACTTTCTCAGTAATTTCTTAATTTTTATTCCTTTGTTTCTGCTTTCCTTATAAGCATTTTATAGATTTTGAGATGTTCTCACTGTCAGAAAGCTTGTATTAAAAATCCTGCCTCAGCTTCTTCAGCACTGGGTTCTAGACCTGTGCTACAGCTGGGCTTCCATCCTACATTCTGCTCTCTGCCTTTCCACCATCCTGTCCGTCCCCTCCCCGACCCCCGCCAAGGACTGAACATGCCCAGGCCATGTTGTACTGCATCCCAGCTCACTTCCTAGTTTCTTGAGTTCAATGTTCATTTATTTTTTGTTCGTTTACCAACATAAACAAGTAATGCTATTGTCTTTTTTGCAATAGTATCTTATTTTATTTTTGCCCCCAGCAGTGTAGGAAACAGAATCCAGGAAAGTGCTCTACTGCTGAGCTATGCCTTAATCCATAAAACTTCTTTGATGTTCTTACTGTCCTTATTTCTGTGGACTCAGGATTTTGGGGTGCTACTATGCCTACAGGCCTTCCTGTTCTAGCATTCAGAGGTACAGAGAAATGATGCACCGACTTGCCTTCTCTCCTCTTCAGAGAAAAGCCTGGCTGTTTCCACCTGGATGAACTTCTACATCTGTCCCTATCCTTGAGATTTCTGAGACCTTCCCAAGCCGTCTTCTAGTCAGACTGACCTCGGTGATTTCATCATGCTTAACCTAGCAGCATTTCTGAGCAGTCTTCTGAAGCTGTCAGATTATTGGCAGCCTAAATTTTATAACATCCTCAACTCGTTTGAACATAAAGACGTAAGAATCTGCTCTGATACTTAGGGCCAGCAGCTCAGTTGTTGTCTTCTAAGTCTCAGCCCCTCAGCAGGGCTGTGCTTTTCCACCCTGAACTGCAGAGGAGCAGGCCTGTCTCTTCCAGGTCTTGCTGCGGGCTTGTGCTTCTACTGCCACCACTCTTGAATTAGCCACTGGGCCCCACGGCCCCCAATTGTCCCTTTATTTTAATCTCAAAAAGCCAATGCTAAATAAAGCAGTCCCTAGTAACCACAAGCCTCAGGGGAAGCAAAGTCCCAGGTGCTGGCCAGTATACCTCTCCAGACTGAATCACTACAGCCACCTGTCACCACACCAAACCAAGAACCTCACTTATCTCTGAACACTCAACACAACCTTTTCTGCAGTCTCTTTTCCAGTAAGAGGAAGTTAACAGCTTCTTCACAGAGCTCTGCTAAGCAGTCTGAAGCAGTCTTTCTTCTGTCTTCTCTATTGCACCAGCCACTTACATACACCTGTCCTGCTAGTCCACATCATCTCATGAGGGACAAGGCAAGGAGACCAAATGTGAGTGAGCGCAGCACTGACTGACTGACAAGGGTACTCAAGGGAGCTACTTGGACAAAGGAAACAAACCTCATCACAATAGTTTGCACCAAGCTGGGACCTAGTGGAGAGCATTTGCTCAGGTGAGCAGTGGTGCAGACCCTAGAACCACAAATAACCAAACAGTTTCAAAGGTCTGGGTGAGGAAGAAATACTATTTGAATATTTATAAACATGTCCACTAAATGGCTCGGAATAGGCTAAAAACTGCTGGATACTTGAACTAGCATGCATTTTCAGGGTTCCAAACATCATGTTTGGATAAGGATAAGGTGAACGTGCTTAAATATAGTAGTTCAAGAAGCCAAGCCCAATGAGCCCTCATGGTTGAGGTACTTAGTTCTGTCCCTCAGGAGGGAAATCCATGAGGCCTAGGCTTCACCTGGACAGCGCACCTTTTACCAGCTTCCCGTCCACGGTGCTCTTGCTGGACCCAGCCTCCTTCTTCCCGCTGCCTCTTCCCCCAGTCTCTGCCATACCCTCAGCAGTGCCGTCCTCCCCCGCTTCACTCGACTCTTCAGCAGCAGTTTCTGTGGAAGCCTCTTCAGCCGTGGATGCTACCTGGAAAGAGAGACAGCACTGTGCACTGTTACATGACAATTACGCAGGTTTGTCAGTATATTCCACAGTATGTGCCTATAATCTCAACAGTAGGAGGTAAAGGCAAGAAGGAGTTCAAGAGCATCCTGGCCAAAGAGAGTCTGAGGTCAGCCTGTGCTTCATGAGTCACTCTAAAAAAACACACTGAAACAATCTCCCAACCTGCCGAAAATAGCATTTCCACATTTCAAATTCTGACTAGTAGTTTTCTTGTGCTTTCGAGTGTGTGTGTGTGTGTGTGTGTGTGTGTGTGTGTGTGTGTTACTGGGCACTGGACCCAGGGCCTCTGGTATGCTAGACAAGTAGTGAGTGCTCTGCCACTGTGCTCCATCCCCAGGCCGGCCTGTATGTTTATAAAACAACAGTCTAAAGTGGTGAAGAAGTACCTTTTCCTTGGAGTCTGGTTACTGACGATACCTTCAGAATAGAATCCCCCACTGACTACAGAGGAGTGAGCAGCTTCAGTTTCAGCAATCATTTCTGGCAGAATAAGCTCAAGAGTGCAAGGAACTATGCAAGGGACTGTGAACTTGGCAGCTAGGCTCCAGCTCTGCCCCTGGAGGGCAGTGAACAGCTCCAGCACATGCACCATGAGGTGCGTGAGTTACATGTAGTCAACGTAAACTGGGCACAGTGGCACATCTGGAACCCCAGCACTTGGGAGGCAGAGGCAGAGGCAGGGCTACATGAGGCTATGTTTCAACTCCCCTCCCCAATATTGTTAAAAGTAGCCTCTGATGCTTGAAGCAAGTGTTTTCTGTTTGGAACATGCTGGAGAAGTGGTCACTAAGGCACGAGTGAGTGGGCGCTTCAACAGATCTAAGCTTCACCTCTGAAGGGAAAGGTTAGACATAATGTAGACTTGAGAATAAACAGGAAGTCAGTCCTGCACTTGTCGTCAGAGCTCATTTCATGCCTTCCCCACCTTCAGTGAATACCTGTGTGCTACTGCCTCCTTCCTTTTGCAGGAAGAATTGCTTCTTAAACTCATAGTAGGCGTTGTACTGGTGCCAGGGCTGAAGGAACTCAAATCTGTGAACAGAGAAGCATTCAGTATGACCCACACACAAGCTTCAGTGTTTCCCACATGGTTTGCACTGTCATGGACATCTCATAGACACTGGTCATCCCAAAAACTTCATAGATTCCACATGGATTGGTCTTGCTCTATCCAGTAACATGTGAATCAGGCAGAGGACTACCTGTTCTCCAGGATCATATCACAGGTGAAAATGCAGTTCATGTTTTATGGACACAGCCACAGGTAGGGGAGAAGGACCCTTGGAAAGTGTGAATTCCAGTCTTTCAAGCACCTACATTTTTACTGCACAATAAAAACAACATCAAAACCCCTCTTCAACTGTAAGTAATTTAACAAGATGTACAAAAATGTCTATCTAAAGATACTCCAGGGAGGATGAAAGAACAAAGGAATAGTGACAGGATTTCAAGATCGCTAAACGAAAATCCCAAATCTCACAAACCTGACATGCTTAAAATTTTTTGAGTGTTTTTGCAACGTGGGAGCTTGAGCTTAGAAATTTATGAATACCCACCCGGCAAACACTGGCACTGAACCACACCCCAGTCCAACCCCCAGACCCTCACCTCACCTTTGATCATTCTTGGCTCGAACACTGGTCTCAAACTTAAGGCCGTTCCTAGCGACGTACTCTGCCAGCTTGTCGATCACAGGCTGGATGTCAGGGGGCGGGGGTATGATGGCCACGGGAGCAAGCGCACTGTGGAGAAGAGCTGGTGAGCAACCCCGACCTCAGTGTGGCTTGAGCCTGGCAATGGCAGCTGGAGGGTCCTTTCGGGCTCAGACATGAAAGAAGACTAGGTCTAAAGCAGTGGTTCTCAACTTTCCTAATGCTGTGGTGGCAACCCCAACCATAAAATTGTTTCCGTTGCTACTTCATAATTGTAATTTTGCTACTGTTATAAATCATAGTGTAAATATCTGAGATGTGACCTCTGTGAAAACGTTTTTCGATCCCCAAAAGGTAGAGAACTGCTGGTCTAAAGTCAAGAAGCCTTCTAACTAACCTAACAAAGCCAGCTCCTGAGCACCACTGTCAGTGACAACGCAGAAAGCTACGTGTGGCACCCTGTAAGCCCAAGGCTAGAGAGTGGCTTACACAGCTAGACCCTAGCTCCAAAACCAAACTAACAGTGGGAATTTACTAAAGAATGATGTCCAAAGTCCCATGGGTAGGTTCAGTCTTCCTCCCAATTAGTATTCCCTTTTAACTATGAGCTACTTCTTAGGAACAAAACAAGGAAAAGACATTAAAACAGCAGGCTAGCATGGCTCAACCTCCTTCACTCCATGTTTACTTCTCAGCAGTATGGCTCTAGGTGTTAGTCCCCAACTCCTCCCATATGCTAGGCTAGTGATCTGAGTGATATCCCTAGCCCACAGTTCACTTTCTAAGTCTTAGAGAGAGGGGCTTTAGTCAAGTTTTTCTGCCGCCTCTACTGGACTTGAGACACATACAGGGGCCCTCCATGGGGCGCTGAGCACTCCTGTCCTTCTGCCATCGCTGGGTTTTTACAGAGATGCCAACTATGTAACTGGTGGTCTCAAGGAGTGGCCAACAGAGCCCTACCCTCACCAACTATATATAAAACCCTACAAGCTTGACAAGTTCAGTTCACCTCACTTGGACCCTGCCAAATACTGCCCTGCTGAGGTGTCAACACACTGAACAAGAGCAACCCAGATGTGGGATGCTGCCCAAGAGCCACATTTACACATGGCTAGATTTCACTGCTTAAGACCCACTTTCAGTGTTAAATAAGGTCTTACTCTGCAGCTCATTATATAGCTGAAGATCACCTTCAATTCCTGACCTTTCTGCTTCTACCTCCACAGTGCTAGAATTACAGGGCTGGAATACCTGTAATGAACTATTTAGCTGGTTTTGAACTTTTTTTGGGGGGGTGGTGCAACAGGGACTCACTGTGTTTCTCTGGCTGGCATAGACCTCACTGTATAAATCAGGATGGCCTTGAACTCAGAGACCACCTGACTTTGCCTGGCCATAGCCGTGAACCTTTGGTCCTTCTGCTTCAGCTTTCCAAAAGCTGCGAGTCCAGGTGTATGGTACTAATATATGAGTAACTACGCTAATTCTGGAGACACATGTATGCAATCCAGAGCAAGAAAACTGGTGTGCTGCAGCAGTCACCACGCTGGGCAGATGGCACAAGTACCTTGTGGTGGTGGTTGTGGAGGTAACCCCACTGCTTGTTTCAGCTGTGGTTGGGGGTGGTGGAGGTGTGGTCCCAGGAGGTGGTGGTACAGTGGTAGTCACACCAGGTGAGTTGGACACGGTCACTCCAGCAGGAAGAGTGCTGTAGTAAGTAGTCACATCGATCCCAGGTGGGGGTGGTGCCAGGCAGTAGGTGCCATCTGGCAACATGTAGTAGCTGTAGTACATGGCTGCCACAGTTGCTGTAAGAAACACGTTCTGTGAGCAAAAGGCCAACCACAGGTGTCACAGCTTGAATCTATAATGTCCCTCATAAGCTCATGTTTTTGACACTTGCTCCCTAGCTTACGGTCATTGGAGAAGTTGTGGAACCTTTAGGAGGTAGGCCTGATTGGCTAGAGGTCTGTTATTAGTAGCAGGTTTTTGACAACCATTTCTTGGTGCCTGGCTCTGGCTCACCACAATGTGAACAGTCTCACCTTCAAGCTCCCACATTCCACAGTGAATCGAGACACTGTGAAACTTTGAGTTAAAACAAATTCCTCCTAGTTCACGTTGTTTCCATCAGATATTAGATCACAGCAATGTGACAATTACTACTATAACAGAATAGCAAATGACTAGGAAAGAGACTCTGGCCAAGTGCAGCATCGGTTCTGTCCACTCCAGCCACACTGCTTCTGTATCTTTGATAGGTTCACACTCTGGAATGAGTGGACAGCAGGCAGGCACAAGAAAACTCACTGCAGACCATGTGGATTTTTCTTAACCAACCCATCTTCTTCCTCTGTGCAATAAGGGTAGGTGTGGAAGGCCTCTCTAAATGTGGAGTGAACCCTCCCCCTGCAGAAATAACTGATGGGCGGCCCTCTTTCCACAGGGCTGGCCAGGTAACTCCTTAACTCGCCCCTGCTCGGACACTGACTATGCTTTCTGGAATCTGTTTTCACTCTACTGCTCCTTTAGAAACTGCTGTCTACACGTCCTGCATGGAGTCACTGTATTCAGCTCAGAAGTCCAATGCTGCTTCTGGCCTTTCCTGTCAGGGGCACCAAGGCAATAGGCAGGCCCTAACAATGGCACGAGAGCCAGGCTTCTCAACGGTCCTGAGCCTATTAGCTCATCCTGCACATTTGAGCCCCATGGGCTTTTGGGTCTTACCACCCCCAAATCACACAGGCCCTCACTCTGTTGCTTCTGTCTCTGGTACATATGTGAAATATCTCTGCTTGTCTTGAGGCCTCTCTTAGATTTAACCCACTGGCTCCTGTTTTTGGAAATCCTCCCACAGTTCAAGGCAGAGGTGGGAACAGATAACCTGTGGTAATTCCTTGCAATGCTAAGACTGTGGGCCTGCTACTGTCCCAAGGGTGACATATCTCAAAAACAGTGACAAGTTCTTGGCAGCTCCTGATGCACTCAGCAAGTAGAGCTTAGCTGTGCTGTTCTCAAATAACCCAGTGCTGAAATAGCGCCAGTGACTATGGCTCACATTAGCCCATTCCTGCTGGCTCAGTCTCCCTGGCTACACACCCTGAAGCAGTGAAGTCTACAGCTCAAGCATCTTATAGCCTTGTCACCAGCTGACTCCAGGACACAGGTTCCCATGCAGCTATTTGTACCAACATCATACCATACCAAGTTAAAAACAAAAGTCACACACACAAAAATGCCCCACAAACATATACCCACAGACTTCCTGAGTTTATAATATAAATTACAAATACACTAATTGACATTTTATAATCTTACTTTAAAGCCTTATGGTAGCCTTTTTCAAAAAACGTTAATACTACTACCAATCAAGTATTATGTTTGTATTATCTTTGCAAAAACTTTGCTTACATTTAAAACCACATAATGATTTAAGGTTTCATATTTTGCAAGATAAAAAGAGTATCAGACATCAGGCAAATAAAAATGTAAACTTACTTAATACTACTGGACTAACCATTCAAACACAGCCTACAACATTATTCAAAAAGTCACACACAGAACATAGTGAGTCATGAGGTTAAATAAGATGTTACTACAAGAAAAAAGGGGGTTGGAGAAACGGCTCAATGGATAAGAACATACACTGCTCTTGCAAAGGGTTCAAGTTCTGTTTCCAGCACTCACACTGGTCAGCTTATAACTCTCTATACCTCCAGTTCCAGGAGATTCAACCCCTTCTTGTGGCCCTCACATGCACAGCACACATACATGCAGAGAAACTCACACACATGAAAGATCCCCCCAAACCAGAAACCAACAACAAAAACTTTAAAAGAAAAAAAAGTGACACCTACAACCCGCGATCTGAGTAGTGGAGCCATGCAACATAGGTGCCTGGCACAGGGAGCTACCTGTGCTCTTCAATTCTAGGCTGCTCCCTCCAGAACCCCTCTCCAGAGGCCTCTGCTGTCCTCAGCACTTTATACTGAACTTTCCAAGGGTACTGCTTTTCCCCCCATCTTGACATGGGGTCTTGCTTTGTTCCCAGGCAGGCCTTTAGGTCTTGGAGTCAAGTGACCTCCCTGCGTCAGCTTACTGAGGCAGCTCACCATGCCTGGCCAGAACTGGGTTTTTAACCGAGTGAAACTATGATGTGACATTAAGCTAAATGTATTACACGAGAACTAGAAAAACACACTAGATGAACTGAGAAACTCCAGCAGTTGCCCAGGCCATCTAGACAGCAACACGAAAGGTGAGCTCATAACATGGAGGCACACTCAGGAGCATGTCTCCAGCTCTGCACAAGCTTACATGAGCCATACTCTAAGGCAAGGCTGGTGGAGTCTGCCTAATAATCATTTACTCTGTTCTTGAACTTGCTGTATTGTAGAGGATGGACTCAAGCCCCTCAGCATCCTGTCCTCACCTCCCCAGCATGGACACACACTCAGCTGATACAGTGCTGGAGAGACCAAAGCTAGGGATTTCTGCGTGAGGCAGCCACTCTACCAACAGAGCTACAGCCCAGTCCTATCTAACCATCTTCCAGAGCCCTTTAACTCTTGCTGACAGTCTGAGCATAGGTGTGTGGAAGAAAATGCCACAGCTTTCCTGAGACCTTAAGGCATGCCTAGGACATCAAAGGAGAGATATTAAAAAGTTCACAGGTCATCAGCTGAGTCCTTCTGAGATGCAGCAGTGATCCACCCTCTAGCTGTCCCTGGTGATGCACCCTGAGGTCAGGGACCAGTCCACTCTGACTTTGTCCTGAGGCTACATACCATTTATGCAATGTCCTTCAACCTCCTTCCCACCTCTAGCTGGTTGGCAGGTAGTCCTCAGGATTTTCTAAGGTCAAAGGCTTTGTATTTTAGCCCTCTGATGATTGCAGAATTCCCATCTCCAGCTCTGGGCTGCATCTGTCTGAGAACTGTCCACTCAGCACTCTGATCTGGTGGGTTCAGACATGTTCTAAACCAACTGTGTCCAGAACCGCCTTGGGCTTTCATCTAAACCCTTTTAGTCCGCAGTTCTGGTTGAGGGAATGCCATGCCTCCGGTCAGTTTCCTGGACCTCTTGGCAATAGCTCTGCCCAGTGTCTGTCTGGGAGGTACTCCCAACAGTCCTTCATCTCCTCTTCTGGGGCCTCTTGAGAACCACGCCACCTCATCCCTTAGGTTTCTCTAAGTCTTTGGTCAACCACTGATTGACCTTCCTAAAATCCTTAGTTGGAATCAGGTGCAGGCCCACTGTGCTGTGGGAACATCTGCCACTGCAAACAGCACTGAGCCTGAATGGCTGTTTATTAGTACACACACGTTAACACTCATAAAGGTTTAACTTGAAATCAGTCACAGTGAGAGTGACAGCAGAATTAATAATGAAATGGAGCTACTACAGTAATACATGTAAAGGAAGTGAACAGGATTATTCTGCAAACACCCCACTGTGCTGTGCACATCCTTCTTGGGGTAATAAATGAATCAGTATCTATGTGACAGGTGAGGCATTAGGTGACACAGGCACAAGGATATAGCAGTGCCAGACTACTTTAAAAGTGTCATTTGAACATGAACTCCATGATACAACAGTTGATGATAATTCCTAAGTGACCAGCAGGAGGATAGCATATACAGTTGGCCAAAGGGACGATCAAATCTGGATGGGAAGGACTAAGATAATGTGAGATCTTATCATACAACTTATAACAGTGCACAACTTAAAACTTTTGAATTGCTTATTTCTGGAATTTTCCACTGAATATTCTCAGACTGTAGATCCCATGGAAAGCAGACCGCAGATGCAGGGCCTGCTGTCTCTTCACTGTTGGCCATCTGTTTTGTTCTCCAGAATGCTGTGCCAAATGGAAGGACTCCGTCCAGGCATTCCTGAGATAGCACTGGCACAGTACACTGTTCAGTGAATGTACCAGTCGCACAGGAGACATCAGGGAGTCTTAGCCTAGGCCAAGGGATGGGAAGTGGTAGCACAGACTCCCCAAAATTGGAGGGAAAAAAAACACAGCTATACCGCAATTTGAGGTCCACCCATTATCTATCCAGAAAGAGCAAGAGTCTCAGACATCCAAGAATTAAAATAAGAAATATGACTCCCCGTGGAGTCTTTTGTGGCAAGTTACTGGAGGATGTGCCCCAACAAACAAAACAAGAACCCCAAAGAGACTGTATGGAGCTAATCTACTCAGGTGATGGAGAAGCCACAGGAAAGCCTAGGGCTATAAGCTGAGAACACAGTCTCAGATTAGAGTGGCAGACTGGGAAACAGCTGCCAACAGCCAACATACAGGTGCACACTGGCTGATGGACCTACTGTCCTCAGCTTCAGAAGCAGTCACTGAGACTTGAGAGATGGCTCAGCGGTTTAGAGCACTGACTGCTCTTCTAGAGGACCCAGGTTCAATTCCCAGTACCTACATGGCCAACTGTCTGTGAGTCTAGTCCCAGGGGATCAGACACCCTTACACAGACATCTATACAGGAAAAACACCAATTAAAAATTGGTGTTTTTTAATTAAAAAATTAAATTAAAAATTTTTAATTAAAAATTTTTTAATTAAAAAATTAAAAAAAAAATCTTGATTGGTGGGTCTCTAAGGGTATTTCCAGGAAGGATTAAATGAGGGGAGAGGACACTCCCTTGACCAAACAGGAAGAGGTGGTCCAAAGGAAAAATCATTGCTGCTGCGTTTACTTCTTGCTAGTGAGTGCATCCAACTCTCCTGGTACTGCTGCCATCATTTGACTCCTGCTTCTTTGGTCTTGCCACATAGGTGGAAGACAGT